TCTTGTGGGGCTAGTTCATCTTGCGGGGTTAGTTTCCCCATCTCAAGGACCTAGTATATCGTCTTGTGGGCCTATTATTTTGTCTCATGTGTCCAGTAATGTGTCTTGTGAGCCTAGTGTCTTTCTGGTGAGTCTTGTATCTTGTTAGTGAGATAAGCATCTTGTTCCACACCTCTACAACATCTTTAAATGTTGTCGGGCTTGACTTTGCATCTATTGAACAGGGAGGCTGAAGTCAAGCAGCCTCAAAATAGAATAAATTTTCATTACAACCAAAAGGGATTTGATGTACACATATTTACCCAGACTGCTATCCATGGAGCTGATCACAGTGGATGTGCTGCTGAAGGTGCTGGACGAGTCAAACCGCTGCACAGACACCAAGCAAATATGACATTTTGGTCATTTTCTGTAAATGCAGAGTCAGCATTCATACTATTCTTTTCCTGATACAGTGTCTCTTGTACTGTTTTTGTAATAAAACTACTTCTCCATGCTTTGATCTTTTATCTGTTTCCAAACGAAAATGATCAACTCGACCAGGAATATTGAGCTATAACTTTTAGAATTATTAACTTTTATACTTTTTAGACCATCCATCCATCCATTATCTTTACCCGTTTCTTCCTTTTTAGGTCATGGGGTTCACTGGTGTCCATATCCAGCAGTCACTGTGCAAGAGGCAGGTACACCCTGGACAGGTCTCCAGTCCATCACAGGGACAAACAACCATTCACTCCCTCACTCACACTTAAGGACAGTTTAGAGTTACCAATCAGCCTAACATGCGTGTTTTTGGTCTGTGGGAGGAAACCGGAGTACCTGGAGAAAACCCACGCATGCACAGAGAGAACATGCAAACTCCACCCAGAAAGGTCCTCAGCCGGGATTTGATCCGACAACCTCCTCGTTGAGAGGCAGCAGCTCTACCAACTGCGCCACCCCCACAGAAATACTTTTAAAAATTTCAGTTCATTCAAAATGTTCTTAATATATTTTAGATTTCTTCTTACGATCTTTGGGTTTTAGATATGGTGTTACTAATGTCGGCGTTTTGCTCACCAACATTACCGTTTTACCTCATCTACAATTTTACTAATGTTTGCTCTCGGTTACTACCAGTACTTTGCTAATTTTAGCTAGATTCAGAGGACATGGAGGACGATTTGCTATGGTGTCCCCTGAAAAGGGAATGAAAGAAGCTACAGATTTGCTAGTTTTATGTTGCAAATGCAATCAGCTAATTTTAACATTTAGCTGCTTTGGGGGGATAATTTTAGCTCTTAGCTTTGGCTTTGCTTAGTTGTAAGGTATGTAAGTGCTAAATTTAACCTTCAGCAATTGTTTAGTTAATTTTAGAATTTAGCTACAGTTTTATAGTTGCATCGTTTATTTATAGTTATGCTAATTGAGCTTTGATACATTTTTTCTAATTAAAGGTTTTAACTTGACTTAAGCTAATTTTAGCTTTTAGCTATGTTTTTGTCCATTTTGGCATTCAGCTCCAATTTAGCTTTATAAAAAAAAAATTAATTTAGTTACATTTAGCTAATATTTGCTTTTATCTATTGTTATTATACTTATTTGAGCTTAGCTTTTTGTCATGATTAAGCTGGTTTTAGCTTCTTTTAATTTCAGTTTTAGCTCGTTAATCAAAGTTCAACAGTTCTCAGCGGTCTTTTGACAGAAAACAGAGTTTCTCTAGTTTGATAAATAAATATTAACAATATTTGACTAAATATTAGCACTTATGTTCTAGTAACCACATAAGTAACACGTTTTATTCAAATCTGTCCAGTGGTCCATGAGATATTTTGCTAACACTAGAAATGAGCACATGGACACACAGACATGAGTAAAAGCATCGTCATCGTCTGAAGGTGAACGATATAAACTGAGGTCCTTTAATCCCACAGACTCAACTAATAAATCTAATCATTCTGTTAAATAACCTGTTTCAGGGTTTGATGATAATAAAAAAAAAAAACTTTGATGTTTGAACCTTAATTTAAAACAGAAAAACTATTAAAATGTTTGTTGTTTGACGAGTTTTCCTGAGCTGCTTAGGACAGTGGGAACTGGTAAATTATATTTAGTCTCAGCTGACAGTAAAAACAGTGAGAGCAGAGATTAGATGATGTCTCACCTGCATATGGCTCTGAGGGTTAGAGAGATCAAACATGGAGCTGCTGAGCTGCTGCAGGCTGCCCGGCTTTATGGACCAACCTGAAGGACAACCACAGAAAACATGGACTCTTTTAGTCCTGTGAGACACGGGGACAAGTTTATATACCAGTCTGCAGGAATGTACAGTATGATGAGGGGAAACACAGAAACACTGGAAACACATTCATTTATAAGTGTGAACACACACACACACACACAAATATAAAACAGGGGGTTCTCAACTTTATGTGCAAATGTCCAAATCTGACCTAGATAAGGTTGATGGTCCAAAACATCTAGCAACAGCAAATCCTTCAAATTTATTTACAACTTCTAACCAAAGAAACAGTTCTTCTGTTTGATTACAGTTGTTTTGACTGACCCGAGGGGGCCTGTTGCTGGAGGTTCAGGAGGACTCGAGGAGACCACTTGTTGGAGGTATAGGAGAACCCGAAAAGACCACCTGTTGGAGGTATAGGAGGACCCGAGGAGACCACTTGTTGGAGGTTTAGGAGGATTCGAGTAGACCACTTGTTGGAGGTTTAGGAGGACCCGAGGAGACCACTTGTTG